ACGTAGAATTATCTTTCTGTGTTGCGAAGAAAAGGCACTGAACACCTTTTGCAGAGAACACCTTTTGCGTAGGCGGCGTCGGCCGCACTTAGGGTTTGTAAGCTTTTTTTTTGTAATTATTTTACATTAATTCAGTTTTTGTAAGAAGTATACAACATATTCATTTATTTATTTATTTATTTTTTACAGTCTGTTAGACTTATATTGCAACAAAGATTTAACATTCTATAATTAGATTTAGATTTAAAATGTAAATATTAAATATTAAATACAAAATACAAAATTCTCTACGGAAATTTTTAAATAACTTTATTTCTTTATCACTGCAATTATTTTATGTCAATATAAACGCATGCAATTTTCTGGAAGTTATGTAGACGGTTGGAAAGGCCGAGTTTCCAATCCGCGCTATTCTTTTTGGGTTACTCCATTTATTGGTATCTCCTGGGTGGTCGAAAAGGCCGAGTTTCCGATCCACCCAGTCGCGCTTTCGTGACGGTTGGAAAGGCCTAGTTTCCAATCCGCTCGTTTATTGTTTATTATCTAAGGGTCAAGGTAGTCGGAATTCAGTTCGGATTCAATATTTATTTTAGTTTTATTCTTTTCTTTTCATTTCTCTTAAACATCCAAGTTGAACTAAAAATTTGATTGCTACTTTTTTAAATGAGTAATGTCAAATTTCGAAAATGACGGAAAACCTTGCATCTTTTAAAATACCGCTAAAAACTGATAAAAAATTAATTTATACCAAAACTTTCAATATTCAGCCCTATCACTGAATCCCTCGTAGAAAAGTTACGAATTCGAATGTCCGCTACAAATACGAAAGAATTGCTATCACTGAATCCATGTGAACTCGAAAAAAAAACTGCCAAACTCAAATGTTAATTTACGGCCATTCGAAATCAGCTGTTGTGAAGTAAACAAAGTGTTTAAGCAAAATGATCATGCTGTAAAACTTCTTAAACTAATATTTTGTTAAAATGGATACCGTAGCTTGTGCGATCGTCTTAAATAGAAGAAAATTATCAAAGGAATAACTTAAAAATTCAAAGGAAAACTCTAAGAGATGCGAGTAATCCACTTGAATTAGACGAGGCTATGTAACTAAAACAAACATTTTTATTTCAAATTATTTGATACGTTTTTTTATTTTAAATAGGTTTATAAAAAATTATAGACTTAACAAAGCTTCTTTCACATATGTGCTCGGTGAGTTAGAGGCGGGAAGCGCAATTCACGCCAGGTCAACATCAATGAATCAAATCACACGCCTGGCATCTGTGCTACGCTTTCTTTTTGGAAGGCAGCTATCACNCACACTAGCAGTCCTGCAAGCACGTTTATATCCTCATTGGGTAAATCTGAATATGACAGACGCAGAAACACAAAAAGCCAGTTTGCATGGAACGCATATAAAAATCGTTTCACCGAAGGAGGACAAATTTCTTTTTTATAATCGGAAAGGTATATTCAGCATCCAATGCCATGATTGTAAGTATATGCTTGCAGAAGCCAAAACTGAAAATTTTTATAAATTTTTATTTTATTTTTAAAGATTTGTGACAATGAAATGCGAATCAGGTACGTCAATGCACAATACCCAGGATGTAATCACGATTCTCACATATGGAATGTGAGTAGTGCAAGGTCCTTTTGTGAGAGGAAATATTTAGAAGGCGAGAGGAATTGCTTATTATTAGGTACATACAAATTTACTATGGATGTACGCATATGTTTGTATGATATTTATGATATTTTTCATAGGTGACGCAGGATATGCATTGGAGCCATGGTTAATGACTCCTTTTCGTGCACCACAATTAGGTAGCCCAGAAAGTGTATACAACAAAGCACACTCAAAAGCAAGGAATATAGTAGAAAGAACTATTGGAGTTTTAAAAAATCGTTTCATATATCTTTTAAGAGCTCGTGAACTCCACTACGAACCCTCAAAAGTAAGCCAAATCGTGAACGTGGCAGCGGCTTTACACAACATTTGCTTGCACTACCACGTTATAGAAATGAATATGTTCCAGAACTATTATCCCTCAACGAAGCCCCTGAAACAGCAGCCACTAGCACTAATGAAGCCGCATCACAGATTAGGCAATCCATTTTGATGACACTTTTATAATAAATACTGATATTCATCTAATTAGCAAAATAAACAAAACTATTTGAAATTCATTTTATTTCGTTATTTAGTTATTTTATTCACACTTAGTTTTTTTTATTTGTATCTAACAAATCTAATTTTCTTAGCTCTATTTCTAACATTTCTTGCTTTATTCTATTTTTTTCAGCAACCAAGTTGAATACGCAAGGTTATGTCGTCGCATTTCAGCAAGTTCAGACTTTTTTAGTTCGTACGTCTTATCTGTTAGTCGACACAATCGGCGGACACTTGATGCAATATCCTCCAACTTCTCTTCCTGACGTTTAAAATGCTCTTTGCTTCCTCCATAAAATTCATTTTGCATCTGTACTTGCTCTCTCAGTACGTTTAATGTTTCCGAGTCCGCTCGTTTTTGTGGAGTGGAAGTACGCCGTGGCAGTGATGAACCACAAGCTTCAGACACNAACCACAAGCTTCCGACACCATGGACACATCAGCATCGGTTTCGGGGCCTTTTTCCTGAGGATCTTCAGGTAGTCCGACACTAACTGTGTTTTTGCAGCCTGAGGTGCAGACTTCTAACGCTGCTAGCTTTATCACTCCCTCCTCCAAATCTGTAAAACTATGCTGCCGATTTCTTCCGCCCCCCGTAGCTGTCTGCTCTCTTTTATTTTCCATGAGCTTGCGTTTGACATAGCACTTCCAATAACACCACACCTAAAATATTTAGGGCCGGTTACTCAATGTCTGGTTAACACTAATCTCCGGTAAAACATCGTTATCGACGTTATCGACTCCATGTTATATGCATGGAGCCGAAAACGTCGATAACGATGTTAATCGGTGATTAGTGTCAATCAGGCTTTGAGCAACCGGCCCTTAGATAGTTTAAACACTTTGTGAACTTGTACATACTACCCTGCCCACCTTTAGTTGAAATATTTCTGCTTCAAGATTGTATGAACTAAAGGTGTGAAGTGTATGGACTAAAATGACTTACTTTTTTCCACGTAGACACATCTTTTATAGGCGGCCCAATACTATTCAGTTCTTTTGCAACGTTTTCCCAAAATGCAGTCACTTCCTCCTTTGAGTACCTAGTAAACCCTTGTGCTATATCTGGTTTCTCATTCAGCATTTCCAGCAAACAGGAATACTTTTGTCGCGTCGTCCCAATTTTATACCTGTGAAAAATTATTTAAAAATTTATTTTTTACTAAATTTGTTAATTTTATCAAATTTACTTACATTGTATTGGTTGGATTTGCTTTTTTTATTTTCGCTTATTTCAATTTTCTCCCGCCAACTAAAACTCGTCGTAGAAAATTTCTTCGATTTGACATTTCGAGTGGGTTCAGTGAAAGCAGTCTACGAATTTCGAAATTAGAATTCGTAGACTCTACGAAAGTCATGCTTACGATGGATTCAGTGAACGCAATTTCGTAGATTCTACGAAAGTCGAACTTACGATGGATTCAGTGATAGGGCTGATTATCTATGCACCACTATTTACTATTTAATAAAAGGTAGATAAAAACCATTACTTCTCAGATAAAAAATGTTTTCTTCTTCTAAATTTGAAATTTACTTGATGAATGCCGTATATATGACGTAGGATATCGAAAACCACAATTATAAAATTTCAGTACGCCCAATTTTATTCCATTTCAATTCATTTAAAATTTTCAATAACTTTACTTCTAACTTAACGGTTAAACAATTAAAAAAGTGACCAGCAGTTTACAAGGTTATCGAAACGTAATTTCGGAATATATTCTTAAGGAAATCTTCATACGAAAATTGAGCCAAAACCATATAAATACGATACTATCGACGATATATCGATAGTTTTGAAAATAATATCGAAAACTATCGATGTGCTGACTATCGATAGTTTTGCACTTCTATTGTGAGGTATACGAACAACTAGGGATAAATCGATACAAGTAAATCCAATTACTTACTCGATACTTTTCTCAAATTACCAAGTAGTTTTTTACTCGATACTTTTTACTGCGTTTCAAGTAGGTATCGGAAAAAAAGTACTTGTATCGGAAGCGCAAAATTTATTATGCTTCAGTAAATAGTCCCAAAAGTCCCAAAAATACCTAAATTACTCGNGTAGACTCTACGAAAGTCATGCTTACGATGGATTCAGTGAACGCAATTTCGTAGATTCTACGAAAGTCGAACTTACGATGGATTCAGTGATAGGGCTGATTATCTATGCACCACTATTTACTATTTAATAAAAGGTAGATAAAAACCATTACTTCTCAGATAAAAAATGTTTTCTTCTTCTAAATTTGAAATTTACTTGATGAATGCCGTATATATGACGTAGGATATCGAAAACCACAATTATAAAATTTCAGTACGCCCAATTTTATTCCATTTCAATTCATTTAAAATTTTCAATAACTTTACTTCTAACTTAACGGTTAAACAATTAAAAAAGTGACCAGCAGTTTACAAGGTAATCGAAACGTAATTTCGGAATATATTCTTAAGGAAATCTTCATACGAAAATTGAGCCAAAACCATATAAATACGATACTATCGACGATATATCGATAGTTTTGAAAATAATATCGAAAACTATCGATGTGCTGACTATCGATAGTTTTGCACTTCTATTGTGAGGTATACGAACAACTAGGGATAAATCGATACAAGTAAATCCAATTACTTACTCGATACTTTTCTCACATTACCAAGTAGTTTTTTACTCGATACTTTTTACTGCGTTTCAAGTAGGTATCGGAAAAAAAGTACTTGTATCGGAAGCGCAAAATTTATTATGCTTCAGTAAATAGTCCCGAAAGTCCCAAAAATCCGAAATTAGTCCCAAAAATCCCGAAATACTCCTGAAAATCCCAAAAGGCCCGAAATCAGTTCCGAGACCGAAATGCCGAAATGGGCCCGAAAGTCCCAAAAATCCGGAATTAGTTGCAAAAATCCCAAAATACTCCTGAAAACCCTGAAATGGTTCCCAAAGTCGCAAAAATCCAAAAAAGACCAAAAAAATCGATATACTCCCGAAAGCCCCAAAAATCCTAAAATTTGTCCAAAAATACCGAAATCAGTACCGAGAAATACGAAATAGTCCCGAAGGCCCAAAAATCCTGAAATAGTCCTCAAAGTCCCAAAAAAATGAAATTAGTCCCAAAAATCCCGAAATACTCCTGAAAATCCCAAAAGTCCCGAAATCATTCCGAGAATCCCGAAATAGGCCCGAAAGTCTCAAAAATTCCGAAATACCCCCAAGAGTCCAAAAAATCTCGAAATTACTCCCGACAATCTCGAAATAGACCCGAAAGTTCCAAAAGTGTTAAATGAGTCCCAAAAATCTGGAAATAGTCTCAAAAATACCCAAATTACTCCCTTCAATCCCGAAATAGTACCGAGAGTCCCCAAAATTCCTAAATAGCGCCGAAGGTCCCAAAAGTCCCGAAATTATTTCCGAGAACCCCGAAATAGTCCCAAAAGTCCCAAAAATCCGAAATTAGTTCCAAAAATTCCGAAATATTCCTGAAAACCCTGAAATGGTTCCGAAAGTCTCAAAAATCCACAAAAGACCCAAAAAATTCGATGTACTCCCGAAAGTCCCAAAAGTCCCGATATTAGTCCTAAAAATCGCAAGATCAGTTCCGCGAATTACGAAATAGTCCCGAAAATACCAAAAATCCTGAAATAGTTCCGAAAGTCCCAAAGTTCCTAAATTAGTCCCGAAAATTTCTAAATACTCCCGAAAGTCCCACATATTCCGAAATTCCTTCCGACAATCTCGAAATAGACTCGAAAGTTGCAAAAATCCTAAATAAGTCCCAAAAATCTGAAAAATGACCCGAAAGTCCCAAAAATACTTAAATTACTCCCGATAATCCCGAAATAGTCCCGGACGCCCAAAAATCCCTAACTAATCACGAAAGTCCCAACAGTCCCGAAATTATTCCCGAGAATCGCGAAAACGCCATAAATCCGAAGTCCATCCCTAAAATCTGGAAATAGTCCCGAAAATCCCAAAAACTAGCAATTAGTCCTAAAAATCCAAAAAAAGTCCAGGAGTCCCAAAAATCCCGAGAATTCCGAAATATTTCCGAAAGTCCCACTATTAACTCCGAGAATCTCGAAAGTCCCAAAAATCCCAAAACTAGTTCCAAAAATCCCTAAATATTTTGAAAGTCGCTTCGAAAATCCCGATATGAGTTCCGAGAATCCCGAAAATCTCAAACAAAGCTTCCGGGAATCCCTAAAGAATTACGAAATAGCTTCGAAAATCCCAAAATAGTCCCGAAAATCCCGAAATGGTCTTGAAAATCCTGATTTAGTCTTACGAATGTCTCAAATCCAGAAACAGTTCCCAAATTGAGGTGTGGTGAGAACGGGTGTGATGGTTTCAACTGTGGTGAGTTAAGATTTGNATGGGTTCAACTGTGGTGAGTTAAGATTTGGCAATCATTGAAACAGAACTAATACCAGAAACAAACACTAATACAATTAATAACACAACATCAAATAAGAAACGAGTTACTTTGAATTTATATAACATTAATTCTCTAGAAGGGGGAGTATTGTAGGGTTTGTATTTGTGTTACTGTCGTTTATTGTACTGTGTTAATTTCAACTTTGTAATTTAAAAAATTTTATATTTAAGTGATTTTGTAGTTCAAACATCAAAGAGAAAATTAGCTTACTTCAAATAAAAACAGCATAATTTCATTTGGAATTTTAAATTAAACTCGATAGGGCCCGTACTGCTGCTCTCATCACCGGGGCCGCTATTACCACTGCCGCCCCAAGGCCGAAGCTACAACCGTGGGTCGCCCGCCATCATCACCGAGGACCGCGAACGCTAATAGGGAATTTACATGATTCAACTCTCACAGGCGATTAGTTGAACCAAAAGTTGAACGAAAGTAGGGAGCCGACCAACTTCATTGTAAGTGATTAGCTGAAAGGTTGTTTACACCAGGCGATTGTTGCTTTCAACTAAAAATCGCCTGAAAAATCGCCTCATGTAAATTCCCTATAACTATCGCCAACCAGGGCCGCTGTCACCGTTGCCACCATCAGGGCCCGCTGCTACTGTCTTCATTACTGGGGCCGCCGCCATTATCGTCGCCCCAGGCCGACCACTACTACCCGTCACGAGTACGGTAATCGCCACTGCCATCATCGCCCAGTACCGCAGTCACCGTCGTAGTTAAAAGGGGCCGCATTTACCCTTCGCCACAATCAGGGCCGCATACAACACCACTGCGGGAGGTCGCTGCCGCCCTCATCATTATATGGGCCACTGCCAACGTCACCGCTGAGGCCGCCACCACCACTGCAAGGGAACTGCTGGCTGCCGTCGCAGCCATCGCCATCGCCGTCACAACCACCGCGACTGCTCTCATTTCCACGCTCTTCGCTACGACTAACGCGTACCACTGCTAATCTCGCTGTCACTAGTAGCACTCACGTCGCCGTAAAATTACCCACCGGATAATCTCCGACACCGACTCTCGCTCTTTACCTTCCGCTCTCCCCTGCACGACAAGTTGCCGGCCTTCTAGATAGCCGCGTGTGTGTTTTATTTGGTGTGGGTTAGTGGGACATTCGCTGGGCTCTGGAGCAGCTAAGCATACCTCAGCCTTCGACAAAACCCACCTCATAAATGGCGCCCGAGCAGAGACCAGCTCTGCAGGCGCATGTGTAAAAACCTCAACAAGCACCAACACTGCGGAAGCGGGTTCATCGAACACACCACGACAAGTAAATGACACAGGGATGAGCGAAAATGATACCACCACACTAAACACTGACTCTCTTGGCTGGATATATCTATTGAAGAAAGAGAGATTGGTGGAAGAATGCAAGAGGCATCATATACCCGGTGAGGGGAGCACCGTCGCCGATCTGCGCAGCACTCTCAGTAACTTCGTCAGGGCAAAAAGAAACCGCAAATCAACCGAAAACCTGCTCAGAGAACTGGATATGGAGATCGCTGCCGATGAAGCTAGCATGGTGAAATCACCACACGAACTAACTCCGGCAATTAAGCTTGGTGACTCTCTCTTGCACGCGGGGGGGGGGGGCAAAGCCAGAAACGAGACCATATGAGCAGCACCGATGTGGTGAGCACCGTCCGCCGTTGGGATGTTCACTACTCCGGTGGCGACACTCTGCATGACTTCTTGTAGAGGATTGAGGAGCGGGCGGAATGCTACCAAATCACGCCAGACCAACTCCTCCCAACCCTATCCGAAATACTCCGCGGCAGAGAACTACAATGGTTCCGCGTCCGAAGGCCACACATAACCACTTGGGCTATATTCCGCACCGAAGTTGAACGATTCTT